CCCCCCCCCCCCCTTTTTTTTCTGAAGAAAGACATCGTTGTTTTTTGGTTTTATAGTCAAATAATTGAACATTGGTTTGGAAATTTTAGAGGAAAATGATCCGTTTGAATGTCTCAGTTGCACTTCTTTCCTGAGAACATACTGTCTATTTGTATAATCTCACGTATATTGAACTTAGAATACCCTCCAGGTTGAGGTGACTACTGATATTGTCTATGTCTGGTTTTAGTGTACTATGATTGTTATAATTATTAATAACAACATTTGTAAACAAATATGTCTATTTTCATCATTGCCATCTTTATTTTACATTTCTTGGGTCTAACATAAGAACAAAGTTTAGATTTCCTTCTGTCAGCATGGATTTTATATGCTACAATGGATTTAGGGAAAATTGCATTGGAGGTCCCCCCAACCTATGTGAACTGTAATGGGTTGGTCAAGATCTAAGTTCTTTGGCAAAAGTCATTACCATTCTTTCAAGTTTGTAATTGATACCAAGTTAGTTCCCAGAGAATGCAAACAGTTGAAAAGCACGTGAACTGCATGAGTTACATCTTTGATGGGTAAAATAGGTAAACATTTAATTTCAGCAAAAGCATAAAGAAAAAAGAAGAGAACTGGAAAAGAAAAATAATTAAACTGTATCATTTTCATTTCAGCCTACCCCCACCAACCCTCAAACCAATGTCCTATTCTCCTTACCGGAGCTTCTTTTTAAGCCAATATTTTGGTGCTTAAAAAGAAGCATAAGCACAAAATAACATGCCCTTAATATTTTTACCATTTCTACAGGTTCTGTAAATTTTACGTGGCTCCTAATCCAATAACCATGGAAGGGGGATGGTGTGGGGGAAGTGGGGGTTGGAGGAATAGGTGATGGTGGTGGCGAATGGGATGAGTTGAGGTGGGTTGGCAAGGATAAAGATGATGGTTTACTTTTTTTTCTCCATCTTTTGTTTGCTCTTATTTTATTTTATTTTTAAATTGAGTGTTTGCCTATTTTACCATTTACAAAAGTGAGATGTGCAAGTTACATGCCCTTTTAAATGTGGATGGCAAACAGTCCATAGAAAGCTAATTTGCTATAAGCTCGAAAGTCTGGTGATGACTTTTGTCAACAACTTAGATTGGAGACCAAATTGTTACAACTCGCATAGGTTATAGGGGACCCGCAATGCAACTTTTCCAGTGATTTAGGCAGCCTTTTATAATTCTCTTTCTGATATGATATTGAAGATTTCATTGTTTATGAACTTGTTTCAGTGGCTTGCTTGAAAGGGGAGCAGAAGGTTCGCCGGCCATGGTGGGCCCCATCTTGTCTTTCAATAGTATTCGTCAAAGCTGCAAAACGTAACAGACAGTCCCGAGTTGTTTCATTGAAGCTGGAACCTTGATGTCGATACCAAAGGGCAACAAAGGGGGAGGAATATCATGTCCCGGGCTTCTTGTATATATGTACTTCTAATTTTTCTTTTAATATTGTGGCAAAAGAGAGTAGGAACAAACGTACGTTACTTTTTGTCGAGTTTTGCCAACAATATTGTTGGTTCTTCTTTGGAGAACCATTTATATTGTCGGGACCTTACCAGATAGTATGGTAGTTTGCTTCTTTTGCTTGGAATTTGTTTTTGAAGAAAACTAGAACGGTGCAACTGATTATGTGCATTTAAGTTGTTCATAATATCACTTACGCAGGTAACTTGACAAATAAATTTATGAGCTCCTATAGTGTAAATGTCTTTTCCTTCCCTCGGCAACAATTTTCTTGCTTGGAGAACGGACTCGATAGTAAGTGATAAGTCATGTCAGCCTGAAGGCTGCAAAGGAGGGGTGAAAGACAAGGAATACAAGTTTTTGATTTTGACGGTACCAACTGCTTGCTTGGTCTTTAGGTTGTATTGGTATCCATTGGGATTTTGCTACTTGTACATAAAAAAATGTACATAATGAATTACATAATAAGATGTGGAGGAAAAAAATTAGATGAAAAAATTGATAGTAGAGTGCCGTTTGACATTATGTAATCTATTTTGTAAGTCTTGATGTACATATAGTAAGATTCATATATCTGTTATCGCTTAATTTCATTTCCTTTTCTTTCTCGTTTAAATTTGTGTGGCTTTGCGGAGGGTTAAATATCCCAATTATTGAACTTTTATGTGTTTTTCAATAGTTATCAAACTTTAAAAGTTCTTTGAATTAATAATTTAGTAAGTTTAGTGGTAACTCAAATAACTTTTAAAGTCCAATGACAATTGAAAACATTTACGAAGTTCAGCGACAATTCTAGAACTTTTGAAGTTCAAGGACAATTAGGAAACATTTGAAAAAGTAAAGCGATAGTTGCAATATTTAACCCCTTCCTAACTCATGGCGAGGAATGCCTCTAATTGGAGTGGACAATGCTTTCAACCGAACATTCATAAAAATGCTCCACGGAGAAACATTCTCTATTTACATGATTAAATTGCTCGTATGTAAGTCATGAATCACGTAGAAATTTAAAATTTTTATGTTTATTGTAAGTCATGAATCATGTAGAAATTTAAAATTTTTATGTTTATTCTGCAAGAAATTAGTTATATATATATATATATATATATATATATATATA